ATTTTTTTTTTTTTTTTTTTTTTTTTTTCTCTTTTTTTTATAGTTTATTGAATTATTTAGATTTAAATCAATGTGAATGTTTAAATGAATCAAAAGGAAATTCATTTATTAATTTTCTTTCTTTACTGCAAACCCTAAACCCTAAACCCTCAGCAGCAGGAGCAGCAGCAGGAGCTGTAAACCCTAAACCCTCATCAACAACAAACCCTCAACCTTTATTAGAATCAGGAAATGAAGATCCTCAACTATTTATATCCGTAAGAATAAACCCTAAACCCTAAACCCTAATTCTATCCTAAACAATCATATACCCTAAACCCTCATAAACCCTAAACCCTCGTAAAGCCTAAACCCTCGTAAAGCCTAAACCCTCGTAAACCCTAAACCCTAGAAGTAGACAGCATGCTATATTTAGTGTTTAGTGTTTATACCCCAAGACATGCACATCCATCACAACTTCCTTCTCCACCTCCTTCCTAGGGTTTAGGGTTTAGGGTTTAGGGTTTAGGGTTTATGTATATAGGTAGGGTTTTCTGTTCCTGTCCGATTGACGGGTTTAATGATAAAAACCCCCGAGGGTTCATCAGCAGCAGGAGAAACACCAAGAAGAATACGTATTTTCTTTAACCATCCAACTAAATCTTTTGCTGATGCAGGTAAACCCTAAACCCTAAACCCTAATTAACCCTAATAAACCCTAAACCCTAACGTGTAAATCGTCTCTGCTTGGTTGTGTCCTAAACCCTTTTTTTATAGCGCTGCTGTACGTGTATATATGTATACATACCTTCTAGGGTTTAGGGTTTAGGGTTTAGGGTTTAGGGTTTGTGTGTTGCAGAGACGGACCCGGCTACGGATGAATTCGTACGTTTATTTTATCTGCTTGTTACCCAGCAGCTGTTTCCTTTGCTAGGGTTTAGGGTTTAGGGTTTAGGGTTTAGGGTTTAGGGTTTAGGGTTTAGGGTTTGTGAGTGTAGGACCTACCAGAGGACGATTCATTAGAGAAGGGTTTATTTCTTCCCTTAAAATCTTTTCGTTATAAAAGTGTTGCTTCCTTACAAGTGTTTGTAGGTATGTAGGGTTTAGGGTTTAGGGTTTAGGGTTTAGGGTTTAGGGTTTAGGGTTTTGGGTGATATAAAAAAAGGTGTCGTCGTGTCTTATATCCTGCTACTGCTGCTACTGCTGTTGCTGCTACTACTGCTGCTGTTGCTGCTGCTGCTGCTGCTGCTGCTGCTGCTGCTGCTGGTGTTTGCATGCAGAGGATAATGGAGGAGCACCAACAACAAAGATTTCTCATCTTGAAGTCTTTGGATCACCTGTTGATAGTCTTCAGGTAATTAGGGTTTAGGGTTTAGGGTTTAGGGTTTAGGGTTATGGTGAGCTACTGGTTGGAATTTATAAAGGGTTTAGGGTTTAGGGTTTACTAAAGGAATTAAATAAATCTATTAATTAACCCCTTAATTAGGGTTTAGGGTTTTGTCTAACCAGGAGAGAGGTACTTCACATATATATACATTAGGGTTTAGGGTTTAGGGTTTAGGGTTTAGGGTTTAGGGTTTAGGGTTTGTTGTGCAGATGAAGGATTGGAAGCCTCTAAAGCCTGAGGAAAGTTTAGCTCAGAATGACACATGAGGGTTTACCTCCGAGGGTTTAGGGTTTAGGGTTTGGTGTTTGAGGTGTACATACACCGCAATAAGGGGGCTCAAGGGGGCCCCCAAGGGCCCCCATTGTATCGCCCAGCTGCTGCTCTTGCTGTTCACACTGGAGCAGCAATTGTTGCAGCAGCAGCAGCTGCTGCTGCTACTACTATTTCTGCAGCAGCAGCAGCAGCAGCAGCAGCAGCAGTTGGTGTGCTGTTGCCTCTAACAAGAAAACTGTGTTTGGTTTTATTAAATAATACAACAATTTTATGCATGCATGCAGCAGCAGCAGCAACAGCAGCAGCAGCAGCAGCAGCAGTAGTAGTAGTAGTAGTAATTTGCTAGGTTGAGGTGTACGTACACCCTGTATAACGGGAGAAGAGGGCAGCAATTATTAACTAAATAGGCAATAAACCCTAAACCCTAAAAAAGGGTTTATCTTATAATAATGTATATTTCCTTAATTATTATTAATAAATAAATAAATAAATAAATAAATAATAATTAAGTATATATTTATTTATTTAATTAGATAATATTCTTTTTTATTTATTTATAATAAAATGTTTTTTCTTCTTTTTTATTTCTTTTTTATTTATTTTAGCTGCCTATACACCGCAGATCGTCAAACCCTAAACCCTCGTAAACCCTAAACCCTAAACCCTCATAAAGCCTAAACCCTTTATATCCTCTAATCCTTTTATACTATTAAAGGAAAGAAATAAATTATATAAATTAATTTATTATTAATTAAATTAAGTAAATAAATAAATAAATAAATTTTATTTCTTTTTTCTTCCTTTTTGTATTATTGAGGTGCCTATACACCTGAATATATTATGTGACCTTCTTGCATGCATGGATGCATGCGCGTGCATGCATGCATGCATGTAGGGCCTATTTAGCATTAAATAAGCAATAAAAATACAAATAATAATTTATTTTAATTAAATAATTAATTATTTTATTTAATTTGCCTTTATTTCATTAAAAAGTGCTAAGTGTTTCTCTACATTGCTGCTGCTGCTGCTGCTGCTGCTGCTGCTGCTCGCTCGACCGCAGGCAGCAGAAGTTAATAACATAAAAAGGCGTAAAATTAAATAAAAATAAATAAAAATAAATAAAAATAAATTAAATTAATTAGGTAAAACAAATTAAATACATAAATAAATAAATAAATAAATTTATATAAATTAATTTATTGTAAGAAAATAAACAAGAAAGGCATATTTAATTAAAAAGCCTTTTCTTCGTTACCGACACCTTTAGCTGCGGTGTACAGTCAGCAGCAGCAGCAGCAACAGCAGCAGCTGCTGCTGCTGCTGCTTGTACACCGTAACCCTGCATGCAAATACAATAAAAGGAGAGAAGAAGAAAAATATAAATAAGAAGGAATAACAAGAAGGGACTTGGCCAATAAAGGAGACACAAGACTGTTGTTGCTGCTGCTGCTGCTGCTAGACTCCCTGCTGCTGCTGCTGCTGCAGCAATTGCTGCTGCTGCTGCTGCTGCAGCAATTGCTGCTGCTGCTGCTGCTGCAGCAATTGCTGCTGCTGCTGCTGCAGCAGCAGCAAGATGTTGCTGAATATATTAGTAGATATAGGGGAGGCAGGAGACACTTCTTGTCTTATTTCTTGGTTTGCTGCTAATGCAGCAACTTGCTGCTGCCTCTTCTTAGCAGCAGCAGCAATTGCAGCAGCAGCAGCAGCAGCAGCAGCAGCAGCAGAGAAGGGTTACTGTAGAAAAATAAGTCTTGGGGAAGGAGGGTGGCTGCTGCTGCTGCCTCTCGTGCTGCTGCTGGCAATAGGACAAGCTATACAGACACCAGATACAGCAGCAGCAGCAGCAGATGGTAGCAGCAGCATACCGCTGCAGCAGCTGCTGCTGCTCTGCTGCTGCGGCGCCTTAATAGGGCAGCTATGGAGGATGAAGGGTTTGCTGGTTGTAGGAGTGGGGTTTGCTGCTGCTGCTGCTGCTGCTCATTTGCATGCAGCAGTTGCTGCTGGTAATGCAGCAGCAGCAGCTGCTGCTGCTGCTGCTTATGGATGCACAGATGGCGTAGTAGCAGCAGCACGTGCTGCAGCAGAAGGGGAAGCAGCAGCAGGTGGCCGTCTGCTGCTGCTGCAGCTGCTGCTGCTGCTGTCCTTTACAGCAACAGCACCTAGCAGCAAAACACCGCAACAGCAACAAGACAAGGAAAGGGTGGAGCAGCAGCAGCAGCAACAGCAGCAACAGCACGATCTCCTGCAGCAGCACCAACAGCAGCACCAGCAGGATCTGCTGCAGCAGCAGCAACTGCTGCTGCTGCAAGCCCTTCGTTGTATAATAGGTCTTACATGTGCAGCAGCAGCAGGAAGGTACGTATACACCCGAGCAGCAGCAGCAGCAACAGCAACAGCAACAGCTGCAGCAGCAGCAGCAGTGTCTTGGCAGTCTGTGTTTGCTGCTTCTTTTTCTTTATTTTTATTTCTTTTATTACCTATCTATTTATTAACAAACCTCCTTTCTAAACCCTAAACCCTAAACCCTAAACCCTAAACCCTAGGCTCTAAACCCTAAACCCTAAACCCTAAACCCTAGGCTCTAAACCCTAAACCCTAAACCCTAAACCCTAGGAACTAAACCCTAGATATCCTTTATAAGGAAGTTCCTGCTGCTGCTGCAGGGCAGCAAAGGAAATAACAGCAGCAGAAGAGAGAGACAGCAATCCAAGTAGTAGTAGTAGCAGCAGCAGCAGCAGCAGCAATCGTCCTTTAATTGAATATAATTAATAAATATTTATTGCCTTTTTCTTTTCTTTTATTTATTTTTATTTTATTTATTTATTTATTTATTTATTTATTTATTTATTTATTTATTTATTTATTTATTTATTTATTTATTTTTTGTTTATTTAATTAAATTAAATATATTTATTTAATTAATTTTATTAAATAAATAATAAATAAAATAAAATTATTTAATTTATTTATATAATTATTATTTATATTAATTTATTTATTTATTTATTTATATTTAATTAAGTTAATTATATTTAATTAATTAATTAATTAATTAATTAATTAACTAATTAATTAATTAATTAATTAATTAATTAATTAATTAATTAATTAATTAATTATAAATACAATTTATATAAAGAAAGACACGGATAGGGAATAAGACACACAGATAGAAACTAGCAGCAGCAACAGGAGCAGCAGCAGCAGCAGCAGCAGCAGCAGCAGATACAGAAGCAACAGCAGCAGCAAGAACAACAATAACATTAACAACAGTAATAACAATAAGCAGCAGCAGCAGCAGCAGCAGCAGCAGATCTTCTTGCATGCATGCATGCATGCATGCAGCCCCATTGTGTGG